TCCAATGGAAGTGCAAATTTGAAACGAGGGGATGTTATTGGTTGCCTCCTTGATCTCACTGGTCCGGTTATTCAATTTAATCTGAATGGGAACTTGGTGAAGGGCTACTTCCAGGTGAGATGGAGGAGCAGATTGACCCTTGCTAAATGTAGTCATCTATAGGGTGTAAATGCATAAATTTTTTTACCAGATTTGAACAGACTTTACATTCTGTCCACCTCCACCTAGTGACACCTTGATGTTGGCATTCCAAATGTTTATTGCAGACCTGTAACGCATCTGTACACCGATTTCATGTAGGACAGCGAAGAGACAACGCGATTACAGGCAATGCCACATGTCTCACTATTTTATGCACATCGAATAGGAAGCATCAGGTCGTACTTCGGTGCGATGCTAAATTTGTAACGCAAAAGTAAAAAAAATGGAACTTATTTCTTCGCAGCGATAGAAATTTACCGAAGGCACTTTATCTGGCTAATTAAGTAGTATATGCAGATTCGGGTAGGGACTGTAAGTCTCAATCCTTGGTCCCTCTTCCCCATATCGCTGAAAACAGGCGTATTTTTACCTTCAAGGATTTCAATACGACGGGACTCTTCTTCCCCTGCGTCAGTATGACGGCTCGGGCTAGCGCTCGATTCGTTTTGGGTGGTACACATGGGAAATTAAAGCACGGACCTCCGGCCGGCTATGCTCCAATCATAGATGCGTTGCAGCCCTCACAACGATTGCGACTTGAACCCGTCTTCTCCTTCGGTCGGTTGGATAAGTCGATATTTTCGGGACCGTTAGCGTCTCCATTGCCTTCACAAGATGTCTTCGTGCCCGTGCCTATTAGTACTGATAAGGTGGGCGTCTCAATGAAGCCTTTTGAAACGTTTTTCACGGTCCAGTACCACATCAATTGAAGCATCGAGACTCTACAACAACAACAACCACAGCTTTGCTGGTTTGAATAGTAAACAATATTTTAGGGTCATATTCGTGCTGCTTCACCGAGATAAAAGCTACTTGTCTTCTGTCTCAGATTCTCCTTCCCAACGTTGTGGAACGTATCCGGGACAAGTTGGCTGAAAATCTGCACGAGTTGTGGTCAATGCGGAAGATCGAACAGGGATGGGCGTTTGGCGAGGTACTGTCGGATCTTTTGCATCCATTCAAGGGTGTTTAAGATTTACAATTTGGTTTGATTTGACTCCCAGGCTGTAGTGGGTAACATAGCACCCTCGCTCCCCTCCCGCCCTTCCGCTTCCTCTCTTTTGACTCGCAGTGAAAGTGTAATTCCAGCTTCAAGCAATGAAATGGCAGTTCTCAGTGCCCTTTTTGTTCATTGATCCAGAAGTCGATGATTTCGTTTTGTTCAACCATCGTCACTTACTCCGATCGCCTATTGGTTGGACGTCTACCAAAAGGGGGAGGTGATTTCCCTACCATCACTCCCACTAGTGTTCGTAGGAGTCGACGCTGGCAACGTAGATTACAACGGCAGGTTATTGAGAAAGTGACTCAGGCGAATGTTAACACAACGGTGTCTAAATTAGCCCAAATGATCTGCACGACTTCAATGAAGCTGGAGGCACAAATTTGATTGATGTTTTCCTGTGTACCTGAAAACACATTAGCCTGTGTGAAGCGTTTTTCCAAATGTCAACGCGAATCGAAAGCAATTCTGTGCACCTCTTCCTTTTCATTTATTTAAATTTCTTTCAGTTAAGACCAAAATGTTCTTTTGAACGATTTGATTCTTTTCTTGTTGAGCCATGAGGATGGCAAGTCCGCCTGATTGAACTCACTATCCACTTCTGGGCTATGGTGACAGTCTCCAGTGTCTAAAGGTTTACCTCTCTAGCTTCGATTTCGAGCAGCTGGACAAGGAGTCACATCTCCTACCTGAAAGCTAAAAGTTTTCATAATCAAAGTCCATTCCCAAACTATACTACTTAAATGAGCCCTGAGACATGAAAGACTAAAAATTTAATCGGAACTTGATTTCACTGGCACACTACTTAGGAGGTTGGAAAAAAACTGTCGACAGCAATCTACCCTCCCTTTTCGTATCTTTCAGCGTCGCGACGAAGCACGACGTCGTCATCCCTGTTTGTGTGCTTTCGACAAGTTGCAACAACAGGAGCGTCAGTACAACGTGACAATGGCACTGGAAAATCTGAAGACTATCTTTGCTCTGCGATACAATATTGGATACGAGAGTCTGCCCGAGGGCACACGTATGAAGACAATCAAGCTGAGCGCATCGTAAGCCATCCTTTCATCCTCCTTCCTTCAGTCATCCTTTTTTGCTCATCACCACCGATCCTCAAGTAGTCCTTGTGAAAGTGCTGTTTGGTGTGTCGTTGGAACTGTGCTAACCTTTATTCTCCCTACAATCCCAGTGTCGTTTGGGTAATTTCACCAATAGAATGTGTCCGGCCTTCTTAAAAGCAGTGCCTTACTTCACTTCCATTCGATGTTGTTCCTTGATGGGCAAAAGGCACACACTTTGCATGACATATTTCTTGGACCGAGAGTGTTCTTCTCCTCTTTTGTCAAAGGGAGAGACGACTCCAAGGATCGTGACTCTATCGGGATTAATTCTAACTAAGAATTTATTAGAGGAGTTGTAGATAACCTTTCCAACTTGCCTTTCAAGCGCTCGTAGGTAGTGGGAGTGATTGTATGACGAGTAGGTGAGGCGTGAGTGACAGTTTTCCACCTTTTTATCAGTAGCTGTAGTGAGAGTACCAAATTAATTGCGATCTGGGGCGTTTAAAGTGTGTGTACAAGATTTTTGAAGAATTTCATTGTGTAGACCAAGACAAGTTAAGCTAATTATTTTTACAGCTCCAAACACACTACTTTAATCCAGCAGTAGCATGAAGAACCAGTTAATCTATTTGTTGCGAAATTGTCTTACAAACCTGAAAAAAAAATGCTATTAAATTACCATGAATGTCATCTCATCGACACCCAAATTCTACTGAATTTTTGGATGGTTGTATGAAACAGCTGTAGGGATAAATTGCTTGATAAGTAAATATGTTTACTGCTAACAATAATGGACGAGCGCGATGTCTTGCCTAAGTTTTAAGGCAGTAACAATGTCTGAGCGCACTTTTTGCTGTTAGGTACACACAGTCGAACGGATACAAACCACAGCCCTTGGATCTCTCAGCCATTCGACTCTCCTCCCGTTTGGAGACCCTCGTCGATGAGTTGGCAGAGAATACGCACAACATCTGGGCGAAGGATCGCATTCATCAGGGTTGGACGTATGGATCTACGGAGGTGAGGTGATTCATTGGAGTTATGCATGCAGCAGCATTCCTTTTCGGCCGTCCATCGTAATCTCAACCAGAGTCTATCCCAGATAGTTAGATAAAGAACATTAAACTGCAGACTCGTTGTGTGTGAATCCACAACGTTTGTGGCCCTTTCCTAGGAAAGAGGACAAATAAGCGGCACCAGGCGGGGTAAAGGTGTCAATGGTGTAGGTTGGAGGAAAGTACATGGAAATGGAATGTAGGTTTCACATCCTGAGATGCTGTTTTTGATAAAAATCCAAACTCATGCGTACTTTTGTCATTGGGGTAAGCGATAAATATCAAAACTCACATGCAATCTATTGGGAGGGACTATCCAAACCGTCGTTGTCTCCAACTGTCTAGCAAATGTGCGAAAAAAGAGAAATCATGTTGAGAATTCCCAAACCATTTGGGTCTTTCTGCCTTTTGTCAACAAATCTGATCTATCATGCTTTGACTGTGTGATGCGTAGGACAACACCCAGAAACGCAGCCCTCATCTGGTCCCCTACTCGGAGGTGAATGCAACTATCAAGAAGATGAACAGGGAATCCGCTACCGATGCTGTCAAAACCCTGCTCGCCTACGGCTACGTCATTGAACCTGTCTCTGGCGAATCTGAACAGAGTACGTCCGCTGTGTCTTCACTATCGCCTTCACGTTTTTCGTTGACAAGCAATTGTTGGATGTCATGACTCAGTGATAGACATCACTTGGAGACATAAGATATCGTCTTTTACCCCTTCTCACCATAGAAACCTTCTTACACTCAGTTTTTATGCTCTTCTCAGAGTTGCCTTCTCTGAGGATTTCAAAAGGGCTGCCTACAGCTATTTGGCTCGGTGTATCTCCAGATGCATAATACTTTCCATCTCTTCTTTTTCATTTTCACTTTGTAGCTCGAGAAAATCCATTGGACGTGTTGGAGGAGGCGACGATGAATTATCGCGCAGCCTCCTCCAAAGCTGTTACCAGAGGCAAATGGTGAGTTCGAGTGTTCACCGTCTGATGATGCTTTGATTGAGCTCCTGAAAATCCGGTTTGACGCCACTCTGTGTTTCAATTACTCAGGTACTATGAGGTGGAACTTCTCACCTACGGTATGGTCCGTGTCGGATGGGCTACCAAAAACGCTCCCGCTGCCACCACAATCGGTATGAGTGGCTCATCCTACTCATTCGCTCCTGAACAGGTAATTTTCCACATTCTTTGAGACTTCAACAGAACTGGAGAGTTTAGTCTACTTCTTGACTTTGAATGCTTCTTTTATCGTGATTTCAGGCTCGCAAGTACCATCGTGATGGACGACCTTATGGAAAGCGCTGTGAACCTGGCGATGTCATTGGATGCATGCTGAACCTCAACGAGCGGTCTATAAGTGGGTCTTGCTGTTCATTTCACCCACATCAACTTTTAAGAAGAGACCAACTTTTGGGAAACTTTCCCTCTTTTTCCTCCTTGTAGCTTTCTCACTGAATGGTGAGATTATGATGGACCCGCTAGGTCAAGAGATTGCATTCAAAGACATAAAGGTCAATTACGGTGAGTAAGAGGTTTTAAATGGCTTTGCCTGTTTTTTGAAAGCAAGCCAACTCACAATCAGAGTAAAGGGTGCCTTAATCTGAAATGGGAAGAAGCTCACTCTTTCACCATAGGAAGATCATAATCTTTGACCGTATTTAATGAGCGTTCAATCTGATGTTGATTGAAAGACATTTTGCCCCTAGCTTACTTGTTTAATGGTGGCACGTTTTTTTTTGTGAAAAATTATTTTCAAAATGCCCTTTTCGGCCATAAAATAAATTTTGACTAAATGATCTGGGGAATCCTTTGGGTATATCATATTTAATTACATCACAAATGACATTTCAAGCAGTTATCAAAAGGAGCAAATGGTAAGCGAGTCTGATACCTATGTCGTTTACATAAATTAAATCATCGGGTCAAGTGGTGACCACCGTGTAGGTTAAGTTCACTTTTTATGGTGTTTAATGTGCTATTGATACTAGTGAATTTATGTTTGCTGTAACGAATACCTAGTTTCTTTGCTTTTCATGGCCAGGTTCTGTCTAGTAATGTTAATTTCTTTCAATTGTTACCTTCGAATTTTAGCAAAAATTGCATGTCTTGAGTATATAATATTTACTAATTTCATTTAAGTAAGTATTATTTTACGTAAAGGATTTGTGCCGGCTTTTACGTTGGGATCTGGACAACAGGTTCGCATAAACTTCGGCAATGTTGTTCAAACTCTCAAATATTTTACCATCTGTGGTCTTCAAGAGGGCTATAGTCCATTTGCTGTGTAAGTTTTCATTTTAACCCAATGGAACGAATCGGTAATTTATGATTTTAATTTGACTTGTTTTGCATTTCCACTTCCAGGAATATGAGCTATCCGGTTCCAATGTGGTATAGCAAAGTGGATGCTTCCCTGTTCCGTGACTTGAAACCGAATCACAGTCGTCTGGAAACCAAGGTTTCCGGTGCATAGTAAGTTGCTGGCTAAAATAATTGACTAAATTAAGGAACCTGAATGCACCTCTATGTCGTATTAGCACTGCGTAGAATGTTAGGAAAACACTCACTGCTTGCCGAATATAATCCTTTTACCGTCCGTGTCATGATGTCCTAATATTTGAAGGGCGAGGTGGAAAACAACTAGTCGTCATTAGGCGCTGAATTTGCATTACTGTTACTTTAGCAGTGCCTACTCTGGGGAGATGTTATTATTTGTTTACTTTACACTAAAAACAGTCCTCCTGTGATAAATATCTTGGCGAAATCGCCAAGCCCAACTGGACTGCATCAGATGGAGTACTTGCGACTGAATTTGGGCATCCGATGCAAGTCGCAATTCACCTCACGGTGAGTCAGTATGCCCTAATGCATGAAGGCAAGCTCAAACACTAGGAGTTTGGTGCCAAGGTTAGCCGCATCTAACTCCATTGGCCTGCCAGTTTGTTTTCATCCATGTCATGCAGGAGACCGCATCCAAGCATTTCGAAAATGGTTTGTCAAAGCCCCTATACTAATGAGGCATTGTTATCTGTTGCTCAGGTCGCTGGTTGATCGAAGAGCTCATTTGGACCATTTGCGAAAACAGCTTGAACCGGAGGACTATCGTCACCATGGAATGGGCATGGGAGGACCGGCCAATATCGACCTTATGCCACAGGTGAATTGTTTCACCAACCTAATCCAAACCACTATCAAAACGTCTATCTTTTAGCATGGATTGCATCTTTTGAACTTGGGATTTCTATTCAAGTCTTAAGGATAAACACATTCAAACAATGTATATTTGTATCAGTCATATAAGATTGGGACCAGGTCTGGCGTTTTACGGATTGTGCTTTAGCTATGAAGCATAACTAGGTTCGTTTCGGCTGGTAAAAGGCAGACCAAATTGACGCGAATATGATTGAAATACATCACCAATAACTCTTTAACATTGTGGAACCAATGAATTTTAACACCTTTGTCGTGATGCACAAGCATGCTTAAAATTGACGCCACCAATGTCTTAATAGGTTAACAACGATTATTGTAAATTTATAATCACTGATTCCTCGTTATAATTCCAGTCAAAACTCACTATGATGCATATTGCATTCGTAATTTCAGGAAATTGGAGCTGGGGGTCTGGAAGTTCGTGACAGACGCGGTAAAAGAGCTCGCCTGGCGAACGTTTTCAGGAAAACACGTCCGCGAGACGTCTCTCCCGACGTTACAGGTGGATATTCAGGTAGGTTACTAACCAGGCTCTAAAAACTTAAATAGAGCCTTTCTGAAAATGCTGACATTCTTTGATGCCAATTTTAACAATTTGGACATTAGCAGTATGTACCTTTGGAGCCTCAACTTTCATGACAGACTCAGATGTTGAAAATGTGCAACATCTGTTTAACATCAGTTAATCACTAAAAGCAAAACAAATTTAAGTGCTTTTCATGCTAAAAATATTCATACGCTTTTGGTTTTTGGGCATTATTTTAATGTGTTCCCTAAGTAATGAAACTTCATGTCATGCGTTTATTGTCACTAGAACCTTAAGTAATCAGATTGGCGTGATTGTACAGATATTTGCTAATGAAAAGCAAAACTTTTGCCTTTATCTAAGCCGTTACTAATTTGTTTATTCTTTGGGTGACTATCAGGTGCAGGAGGTGTAAGTTTGGTGAGTGGCAGTGCCAGCACTTCAGGCACAGTTGGAGGTAAGAAAACTGACCCCGCAACTCCCAGTCAAACCTCTGCAGGACCCCATGAAGGCTCTCCTGGACCCTCGGGAGAGGAATTTGAACTACTCCTTGTAAGCAGCAGTATTTGATACATTTAAATTAAAAATCGCTGCTTATTGTAATCGGACCAATGAAATTCAGGCAAAAGCATTATTGGCCAATCATAAACTTCCTTTAGACACCCACTGACATTTAGGTAAATTAGACAGCGCATCTTTAACCCTGAGCAGCTCAGTACCACACGAAAATAATTAAGCCAAATGTTTTAAGACTACTTTTTTTCATATTTGATGTGTGAAATACCTTGTAGAGTCATTGATATCGCCTACCTCCAAATGCATTCCTTTTTGCCTTACCACAATCGAGTCTTGTAATCTGATTTGCCCATTTTTCGCCTCGCAAAATAAATTCAACACATTAATTGATCAAATATCTACTCGCAGCCTGAGCAATCTGCCTTGGACAACGCAATCGCTGATTTTATGGACGAGTTTGCCTACACCGTACTGATTCCTCCAGGCCAGAATCCCTGCTTAGTAAATGTTGGATGGGTTGGCAGCTGCTTTAAGATCTCCAAGCCCGCCTCCATAAGTGGTGGCAACCCCTTCCCTGTGGATCCTGATTTTAACGTCACCCAACTTGCCACCTCTCCTGCTCCTTCTACTAAGCCGACTGCAGAGGGAGACACGACGAGTGTTGCGAGTGAATCGAGTGCTTCTGAGAAGACTTCGACTTCGGGCAGTGGAATAGAGATGGACAAATTATTGAACTTTGCAGAAGTGCGACAAGTCGCTGTGTGTTTGCTGCATGATGACCTAACGCTAAAGGTAGGCACTAGTGTTGGTTGGGTTGAAACTTAGCCAACGCGCCATCATAGATCAGCCCAGTTTACATCTCCATCTGTTCATCGTTATGGTTCTGTGTACTATCTTTTACCCTTCATTAATTAAGCTCTCAGATAAAGGTGTACATGCCTTAATCTCGCATCTCTAAGAAACTTACAGTTTACCCTTGTGTTTTAACGCTTATTCACTGTCTTCCTCTCCCCAGTCGGCTGTAGCAGAGCGCTCCTCCTTCCTTGTCAATGTGGGCGACTTGATTCAAAAAATCTCCACACCTGAAGACATCGGAAAGCGGGTGAGCCAGGGCTTGGCGGTGACTTGTTGGGTGGACACCGCCTCCGGAACTCTCGGTTTTAGGCTAAACGACCGCGATACCCTTATTCGGTTCCAGGTAAACCAATTTGTCTTCAGATAAAGCAACAAAATTTACGACTTGAATTTCACTATTTAGCTTTTTCTTAATTATTCGCCTTCCAATTCATTTGGGGATTTGAGGGGAGCTCCAAACTATTTTTTAACTATAACAGCATAGAACTACTGATCGTTCATATTGGTAGATGCTACCGTTCTCATAAACTAGTTTAAATTGCTCAAATATCAAAAGCAGATAGTTTGAATCCATACGCCCAGCCAGCAACATCGTGCGCATTGGTTATGGTGAAAATGTTTTTTTTTTAAATAGGTTGAGCCTTCGACTCACCTCTTTGCTGCCGTCTTTGTTCGTCCAACGGCCCGTGACTGTGTCCAATTTGAACTGGGTCGTCGTTCGCGCTACCACCTCCCACTGACTGCAGGCATGCTGCGTCCCCCAAGACGCGCCAATATGCCAATGCCGCATCGACTCAATGTTCAAGCTATTGAGGTGAGGTCCCAATGCCAAGAGGTTATCCGATGCCTCTTTTCTATGTGCTCTTTGCCTAACTGAATCACAATTCCGCTGTCTGATATGCTACTATCAAAACCTACAGCGTGTCCACTGGGCGCCGGTACCGGGCGAACAGTCAAAGATCCAAAGCATGAAGATGAGCGACCAAAGGGGTTGGAGCATGCTATTGGAGAATAGTGCACCGCGCCTCGCCATTCAACTGCCGGAGGCAAATCGCTGCTTCTCCATTCTAGAGTTGGAGGAAATGCCAGATCTCCTGAAGTAAGTTCCTCAGTAGAGCAACTTCCCTCCTCAGTGCAGCCGCACTCTTTAAAAATCATTTATTTAGGCTGAAAGGGAGATCGAATATTCTCAAACTTTTTACTAATTTCATAAAACCTAGTCCATTCTAAAAAGATTCCATAACGCTATCGCAAAACACCTTTTTAAAGTCTAATACGGTGTCGAATTTTGTTTCAGGTTCCATGCAAAAACTCTGGCTCTCTATCGTGCCCTCTGTTGTCATGGCAACCACAATGTTGCGCAAAAACTGACCAGCCACGTTGATCAGTACCAATTCCTCTACGTGATACAGTCAAAATGTATGTCGCGATTTTTTACTGCCTTCAACCCTCCCTACATATTAACACTTAAGTAGAATTACCCTCGCCTACGTTCCTTTTCAGACGTTCACGGTTCATTGCGTTCGGAGTTCGTCGAACTCCTTCTGGCCATGCACTTGGATAGCCCAATGAAGCTGAAACAGGTTACAGGAAGGGAATTCATTGTCCCTCTTGAGAAGGATGATCTTGATGTCAGCAAGTCCCCTGCCCACGTTCTTAAGATCGTCTATGACTGGGATCCGGATCACATTCCTGCTGTAAAGGAGCACCGAAGCATTCGACCGAAGCTAATTACTGATCCTTATCTGCTAATGTAAGCCATGATGGATGGCGTACTGGCACTTTATGAGTATTTTAGTCTGGAGGAGAGAAAAATTGGCTTCAATGGAAGCTCAGTCGATGCAGTTTTTCACCGTGTCCTCTATTTAAATTGTTTTCAAAAAAACCTTTCATTCCAGGCTTAAACGACGCAGGAGTGAACGAATAAAGCTATCTGCAGCTTCGTAAGATCTGCAACATTTCCACCTCATTAACTCTCCGCGCATGGCTTCATTACCTATTTCACGTCTTTGCTTTAGGATCGCTCTTATGCGACGTTGCTGGTTAATCACGTGCTAACACTCCTGCGCACACCTTTACCTAACCCTCCTCTCACTTATATCTTATCTTTTGCTTAGTGCAAGTAGTGAAAAACGCGGTTATAGGCCAAATTTACAAGTTGGCAAAAATCGGAATATCTGAAACGCACCAAGGGACGTCAAAATTAAGAGAGACATAAAGCATGAAAGTGCATGCAGGCTAACACTAAGTAGTCTGGCTGTCAACGTCAAATTTATACACGATTTGTCTCGCTCTAGTCCTGGAGCCGATGGAACAGGCGCGGGCAATTTCGCGATACCATCAGGAAGTGGAGAGGCCCAACCGGAGGCTGTGCTGACCTCTGCCGTGGCTGCGGCGGGTGCTAGTGGACTTCTCAAACTCTCTGATTGTCCTTCCTTTCCTTTGGATCTTCTCAAGCGTCAGACGTTAGATGCTTTGATCGACATGGCCAACACGGGCGGCCATGTCCGAGATCCATATGGAGGCAACTTTGAACACGCGTTGTTGTAAGAATCCACATTTGTCAATCACTTTTATGATCACAACAGTGCCAGTTTTTAGCGTTTTCCTCCTTAAATTGCTTGTAGACCTCTGCTCCTGATTCTCAATCATCTACTGGTGATGGGTTCACTGGATGCGGCAGATTTGGCAACTGTTCTTGGACTCCTCAGTCCAAAACTCTTCCCCAACACACCTAGTTGGAGGGGTGCGGCAGTCTTTTCAATATTAATGCTTTTATTTTCGGGAGAAACTTTTTTTGCTATGGGTGATTCAAAGTGGGAAAATTTGCTTAAACTTTCTTGTGCTGTGGACGATCATATGATGGGCGAACCATTTAAACGATCACTTTCTTCTTTCCATGCTAGTGACACCCATAACTGGTAGCCTACTGAAATTACCCCTGCCGGAATCGGTTAAAATGGAGGTGTGCCACCTGTTCCACCACCTCTGCGATCTACAACTGCGTCATCGCATTGAATCCATTGTCAATTTTGCCAACACTGCTGTCAGTGAAATTCAAAATGTGAGTGATCTCCTGATCTTAAAAAAATGGAGAAAAGATTGCCTTACGCCCGTGCATAATTTCTTCCTCATTTCATTCAACTGTGTTGACAGGACCAGATGCAGCGCTACTTGGCTATCAAAGTGGCGAATCTGCCATCGGCAGTGGCAGCACCAAGAACGCGTGAGTTCCGCTGTCCACCGAATGTGCAGATTCGTAACCTCCTCCACATGCCTGGTCCTGGTGGTCCATCGGGTCTGCTTGACGATGCTAGTTGCGCCGCTGCCTCCTCTGACAATGACGCGATTTCGCCACTGGATTTGGCCGATGCATGTGATGACCTAACTGGTGATGGGTGCTCTAGGAACCCTTGTGCAGAAGAAATTAAGGTAGGTCTTGATATTTGTGTCAAGTTTGAGGAAGGTCCACGCTAAACTAATGGCATATTTGGTCTTTTTATAGGACCTCATGCGTCTTTTCCATCATCGTTTAATGAATCATCTTGGCGTAGTCAAACCCGAAATCGAAGACACGTGGGACTACGATGGAGCCATTAAGTTGCTTCAGGAGGCTGCTGCGGCGGGTCTACAGCACATTATACCGCTATCCAATGCTGATACTGCCGGTACACTAAACAACACTGCTAACAGTCTCACCGCCTCGGCGTTGGCAGATGGCGCTCGGCAAAACACAGATACCAACTCATCCTCTCTTAACTCGGAAAAGTCACAGTCCGAGCTGACAGAACTCTTGAACATTCCAACTCTCCTCCTTCCCGAGGGTGTCGGTGATCCCGAATCTGGAGCTTCAGGTCCGCCGACGGCTGTTAAGGCTATATGGAATCTGGTCTCTGGTTCAAATGGTACTGGAAGCGGTAGTGTCGATAGTGGGAGTCGAACTTCTAGGCAGTTGGCTCTTGGTGGACCTGAGGAATCGAAACAACACGGAAGTGAGTTTCAACGTCATTCCTCTCTACACCATCGGTTAGCATTACAAATGCCTGATGGATTTTTTTGCACAGGAAAATTGCATCAGCTGATCTTGGAGACTGTGAGCGAGTGGGCCAGTAGTTCAATAATTGAGAATGTAGAGCTGATTCGACAGATGTTTTACCTCCTCTATCGCCAGTATGGGGCTCTTGATGAGGCAAGTGAACTATGTGAAAACACCACTGCAAGGTAATATGTGCGTGGTGGAAATAATTTTTTCTCCTCGTTTGCGACAGCTTCGACAAGGGCTGACGCGGACCTACGCGATTGGAAATCGCTCAAAAGAAGACGTTTCCCGCTTGTTGCGTTCTCTTGGGCGAATTCGATGCCTTCTTGGCGTCCAAGTGGGTGCCAACGAGGAGATATTGTTAAAGAACTGCCTTTGGTATGTGTAATGGCATGGTACCACACATTGCTCCTTCAGTTGCCCATTCGTTAATCAAATGCTATTGAATTGTGTCTACAGGGACATAATGAACAACAACGTCTTCTTCCAACACCCTGATCTGATCCGCGTCTTGGCAGTGCACGAGACCGTGATGCAATTGATGGTGCACACACTCTCTAAGGCCTCTCTCGACTCACCTTCGGTAGCTGCCGCCGCCACTGCTGCTGCTGCTGCCGCCTCTACCGCCTCAGAGCTGCAGCACCAACAGCAACACCAAGGCTCGCAGTCACCGCACTCGACTGCCGAGGATGCACTCTCGTTGCGTCGTCGTCAAGGCTCCGGAGGAGGAGCTGGTCTCCCTGCATTGATGGAGGAAGGAGAAGAAGCTACTCTAAGTGGTACGTCATTTACCTAGCAATGGGAAACTAAATTTTTGAATAACGTGAATGATCACCTGCCCATGATAAAGGCAAGTGAGAATGCGATGCGGGCAAAAGAGAGTTGAACGCTTTAAATGGTTTAAATTCCATTTGTCTCAGAGTACACTCAGCTTCCTAAAATCCGTGATTCTTGTTCCTCTTAGGTTCAAACCTGGGTCGAAATGCCTCTGTCGGTCCCACTGAGATGGTAGTTCAGTGCTGTCGTTTTCTTTGCTACTTTTGCCGCACCTCCTGGCAAAACCAGAAGGCCATGTTTGATCATCTCAGCTACATGCTGGAGAATTCTTCAATGCTACTAGGTGAGTGTTCATCCGTACGGAGGAATCTTGCTCCACTTCATTAACAATATTATCTAATCCTATGATCTTTCAGCTCGTCCTAGTTTACGAGGCATCTGTCCCCTGGATGTAGCCTACTCCTCTTTGATGGACAACAATGAGTTGGCTTTGGCATTGCGTGAGAAGCAGCTGGAAAAAGTGGCCGTTTATTTGTCACGTTGTGGTGTCCAGTCAAACGCGGAGCTATTGACCAAGGGATATCCGGATATTGGATGGGATCCTGTGGAGGGAGAACGTTTTCTCGACTTTTTGAGGTTCACTGTGTGGGTTAATGGTAGGTTTGGAACGAATTATTACTGAAGTATAATGAGGCGAATATGTTCATATCCTTAAGATTTTATTCACTACAGTTTTGCCACCTCGATTAAACCTTTTGGTAATGATATGGCCGTAATTTCCACCGAAACTGTTTCTGTAGAGGTTAGTTATTCACAGAATGGCGCCAATTTAGACTCCTATTGAGATTCAAGACTCAATGATATTAAGCGCAACGTTTCCTTCTATTGTGTTACTTGAAATTATTCTTCAGGTGAAAGTGTGGAGGAGAATGCGAATCTGGTAGTTCGTCTCCTCATTCGTCGTCCTGAGTGCCTAGGACCAGCTCTTCGCGGCGGCACCAAGTCGGTGTCGAGTCGTCGACAACGGCTCAACTCGCAATCGGCCGGTCATTCTGGTGTTGCAGGGAGTAGTGGCGGTGGCGGTGGTGGCGAGGCTATTGATCAGCTTGCTCCGCCTGGTAGCCCTGACGTCTCCGGTGGGGCAGGAGGCGGTACTGGGGCCGTCAACAGCGCCGGAAGCACTGCCGGTGGTGTTGGTGACGACACGCACTCCACCACTGCATCGAACGCAAACGCTGCCTCATCGTCAGCTGGTGGTGGTCTTCTGAAAGGTAAAGTCGACAGAGTTAATAAAAATGAAAGTGGGATGATTCCTTAATGTAACTAGTTTGGAAGGCTCATTCGTTTCACCACTGGAAAGTTCATCTTCAGTCCACTGAATGGTTATTCGCTTCGTGCTCTAGGCATCAAAGAGGGAATAGTGATGTCCGCTCAAATCAAGTTAGTCAAAATGGCAATGGACGCTGAGGCTCAGGGTTTGAACCCGGAGGATGAGGACATGGGATGGAGAACGGTTCTAATGGACTACGAAGACTGTAATCTCTTCGCCCCATTGCCCTACAACTTCAGCAACCTTCCGGTGTGTTGAATAGACAATCAAAAATGAAAATCGCTTTTCATTTACATAAAACGTCATTTACTCATGGCTGCTCTTGTCCTGCAGCCCGAGGAAGATGAAGACTATGTTGACCTGGGTGCTGCAATACTCACCTTCTACTCAGTTTTGGTGGATCTTTTGGGTCGTTGTGCTCCCGAATTAGACGCTTCAAAAAGCGAATCGGTGAGAGGCCGTGCAATTCTACAATCTCTTGTCTCGATGCAGGATCTGGAGGGAGTTCTCTCATTACGGTTCATACTTCCTCCACCCAAATTGGAAATGCAGGTTAGTATTGGAGCTGAACTCTTAGTCGACCAACATGAAATTGCCGGCTGTGTCAACAAATATTTTCTACAATTCCACCACTCTTAATTCCTGAGGAAAAGTTCTCCCTTCTTTTGTCCACTGGTTACACACCATGCACTCTCGGTCCTTGCCCATAGATAAATGCCGAAGGTCTTGAGCAGTGGGTGGACAAATCACCAATGCCTCCAGGTCTCCTGCCTGAACACAAAGCGGCTGTCGTTCTCTTTATGGAACGTGTTTACGGTCTTACTGACTCTGGCACATTTGTTCGCCTCCTCGAAAATGCTTTCCTCCCTGATATGCGCGCAGTCACGCTATTGGATTCTGTAAGTTGTGTCGAGTGCTAACTTTCTGTAACGGAGGACGACCTTTTGGCCTCTGAATTGCACATCAAGTAACCACTTCGACCCTCATTTTTAGGCACAACGCGGCGTCACTGCAAGTGACATGACTCTTGCATTGAATCGATATATTTGCGGTTCGGTCTTGCCTCTGCTCACACGCTATGCTCACTTCCTTGCCGTGAACGAAGTTACCGCGGGTTTGCTGGAATCTACGCTTCACACTGCCTATCGTCTGGCCACCTGCCGTTCGATAACCAACAACCAACGGGACGTAGTTAGCGACTTTCTCGTTGCCTTGGTCGAACACATTCAACCGTTTTCAATGACCAGCCTTATTCGCAAGATCGCCAAGAATATGCGTACTGTCGGACGAGAGGTCACTACAGATTCACCTCTGCATGGCCAGTGTCAGCGAACTCTTTAAACAGACACCTTGTTTTCTCTCTTTAGTCTGTGGTGTCCCTACGTGTGTTGACCACCTTCTATCAACGCTTTGGATCCTATTATAGTTCCGAGGGTTGGACTTCTGAATACTCTAGCGGTGGAGGTGAATCTGGAGGTGGTGGTGGCAGTAGTGGTACAACCACCGGTGGGGCCTCAAAATCGGGTGGAGCGCAAAGAGTTACGGTAGCAGGTAGCGGTGCCATGCGAGATCTAAGTGACACCGCATTTGTTCGAGCTACGGCCGCTGGAATGACTACAACAGCAACAGAGGAGGAGAAGAACCTCACTGCTGAGCTTTTTAGTCTAATTTTTAACAACCTGTCGTGCCGTCGCTATGATGCGGAGTTGTACGTCTACGCTTTGCCGTGTCTGACGGCAATCGGTTGCGCGCTGCCTCCCGACTACTGTTCGTCGCATTGGGATGCGCAATCGAGGATCGGAGATGATACTGTGGGACTCGATGGTTAGTTTTGTAGAATTGGAACTGAAAATCCGCTAGGATGAATCTGCATACTAAATTAATTATCATCAAGTTCCAGGGTTTATTCATTTAATTTATCCAGCAGCTGGTAACTGCCTAGACTATGCTTCACACATTTGTCCAATTACAGTCTCTGCTCACCCCGGTGGGCCAGATAGTGCTGCAGACTTACGCGGGTCTAACCAACAACATGAAAGCTTCAGGCCTACCCCTCTTGTAACATCATCTGTAAGTTTGTAAAAGCAATATTTTTATCCAACGGGTTTTGTGCGTTTATCTGTTCACGTGGAATTTTCACTAGAGGTTTCCTTGGCCGATCACTATAATAACTTCGGTAACCTATGAAATTCGACAAATAAGAGGACTCAATATATTTTCAAAAATTATATATTTACCTTTTCCAACCTTTATAACTAATGGTAATTCTCGTTTCATAACTCTCTGACCGCAGTGTTAATTTCTACCAATGAGATTTGCAGAGTCCACGGTGGTGAGCCAATCGAGTTTCAGAACGCACCGCCAAATCAAGCAGTTTTATTGGATAGTCACAATGTTTATTCTCTTCTAGATATTATCCAAATATCGACGTTCGTGCGTTTTGTTTTGGTCGAGATTAAACCACACTTAATGGATTTTCGATAAATCTTGATATTTAATTCACCTAGCATGGGAATAAATGATTAAGATGGGAATTAAATTGATAGCCGAGCTATTTTCTGCGCAACTTTTTTCACGAAACACTCACAGCTAAGAAATGAAAATTATTGCCTTTACCTATTTCTTTGATGCTAAAGGTTCCTATTTAGCGAAGTAGAAGCATTGATCTAGCTTTAAATTAAGCTAATCGTTTAATTTTCTTTATTTGTTCATAATTCAGATAAGATCTGATTTTCTACACTTTTTCGAGTTTCCACCAGAGATTAAAAGTGGTAAAGTAAATTCACCGCCCTGTAAGCATGAAACTGGTGAAGAATAAAAAGGTTATGCTTACCAATCCAGTATTTCGTATCCTTCGCTCTCCATCTCAGGTGGATTTATGCCATCTGACCGATATTATGCAGACACTTCTTATGATGTCGGTTGGGTGCATTTACAGATTAAACTGCCGGCAGCACTGAGTATTCTGGTTGACCAATTCGCCAAGCACTGCCATGACTCTTGGGCGCAGGAATTGGTGGATCAGGGCTATGTCTACGGACTGACACTGGACGAAGCGCGGCGCACCCACCCCAACATACGATCTTATCACTCCCTATCTCAACGGGTAGGCGCCTTGGTGGAACTGTCAGTTCAATGATTTTCTTAATAATTAACCCATTTACCAACTATTCATCCGCCTCTTCATTCCATTTCCATTTTACACTCATTATATTCGAGTCCTTCCATCTAATTACCTGTCCATTAATCACTGCCTCAACATCATCCACAAACATAACTGCTCAACGCAGTTTTACCTCCCGTACTCTAACCTCCGTTTTCCGCAAATAGGATTAATCGTGTAAACCAATGACTACCTGGTCATCTTTTTAGCTATCGTTGCATTCCCTTACCCGTATCCTTTCATGGCTTCCCCTCAGTTTGTGTATCTGTAGTTTTTTATCCAACTACAATAGTCCCTTTTATTTTATACGTAGATCTCCATTTCGTCAATTTCGGTTCTGCTTTTTTAGATGGTAACATTAATCACTTTTATACCACACAAAATGATCTCATTTTAAAAGTTTTAATCAATCTTTAGGATCAAATGCGGTATATTCAACCAGTGACGGAGACTCTGCGGGCGATGCTTGCTTTGGGTTGGACCATCGATCCTTCGGGCGTATGTCACGAAGACGATGGGACCGGATTAGGTCTTCGCCGAAGGCAGTTCATCCACAGTGTAAGGACTTCGTCCCATCTTACTACTGATTTCGGCACAAATTTGATCAAACAATGCTAAATGGTCGCACAAGCACAAGTGGCTTTATGTTAAAATTGCATGTTCTGTATCTCTTTTTGTGAAACATTTAACATGAAAGATGGTGAATTCGACAAACATCGAACTTTTAGCAAACTGAAAGCCCACAGGGATACATTCCGGCTCCAAAAGATCTTCACGGGGTTAATGTGACTCGAGAATTAATCGACTTGGCAGAACGATTGGCTGATAATGCTCACCAGATCTGGGCGAAGCAGAAAATGGAAGAACTTGAGGAAATCGGTGAGCTATTATTCCTTTATTATTCCGTAGAAATGACCAATTATGGACATCAGGTTAATTGTAGCCTTTGACCATCTCTCGTTGTTTGCATCAATGTCTTCCTTTCTTTTCTAGGTGGTGGTGTTCATCAACTTTTGGTGCCATACGACATTCTGACTGATCGTGAGCGCAAACGCTATCGTCGCCTAACTCATGAGTTGATTCGATACTTACAGTACTGGGGTTATCGTCTCTCCTGCAAACCAACCAATCAGCAGGTCGATACCACCAAAGCCGGGACTGCGGCCACACCAGCTAACGCCCCCTCAAATGCAATCAAACAATACGCTGGCGAACGAGGTGAAGGTGAGTGTGAACGCCTAAATGCGGGTGATGGGGGAGGAGGGAATGGTGGTTATCGTCAAATGAAAAATCGCTTGAGCTGTAAGAAACAACGATGACCATCAGATCTTCACTCCAGGAGGGTCTTCCAAGTTCAAATTTATTGCTTCTTGTTTATGCCCACAGATTATTATCACAACTCTCAGCATACGCATGCTGAATGTTGTCATTTGATGCCAAAAAAGGGATTATCCTTGTTTAGGTCATCCTTCAAGCCGATTTGCCTACGGTCTGTTATCAAAGTTGTTGGATTACGTGGAGGGCGCTATGTCAACAGTTCGTGAAGACAAACCAAGTCGCATGTTCAGTAGGCATCAAAACCTTACCCAGACCAGCGAGGACATGAAGCTTCTTGTGAAGGTGGTGCTGCCTCTCTTGGAGCGTTACTTCTATACTCGGAAGTCCTACTTCATCGACCCCTACTCGGGTGCTTCGATTGAGGAGAAGAAAATGGCCACAATGTGAGTTTGTATTTGGAGTCGTTCTGTGGAGACCTCTAATAGCTAAGGAAAAGATAACCATTTTTAGCAAATCTGGCTTAAAGCTACTCACATTGACCAAGGAGGGTGATAAGCGATTTTCCTCCCTTTCTTCACCTCCAGGCTCTTCACTAAACTTTTCACACTTTTGCGGCTAAAAACTCGCTGCTTCGGTGCTGACGTCAATGTAACTGTCTCTTGTCTCAAATGCCTCATTGAATGCCTCGATATCAAAGCCATCGTGAAGATTAGCTATGCGGAGGATTTTGTTCGAGTTCGTCTTATGCCATTCTTCTCTTTCTGCGCGGATGACTTGAATCTCATCATCCGAAACCTCAACTCCGGAAGGTATTCTCACATCAAGGTGAGTTGGCAAAACAAAAGTTTTGCGCAACTAAGTGGCACCTTTTTATGCTTGCTTTGATCCCATCGTTCTACTTTCTCAGGGAACAATTCGACGTGGAGCCTGTAGCATCGACTACCTCCACATGATCCTCCTGCCGACATTGAAGACGATGTTTGAGCACATTAGTAAGACAGGTGTGGGTGAGGATCTACTTTTGGGGCATCTACAGGTCACTTGTTATCGCATTCTTAATGCCCTCTACGTGTTGGGAACCACTGGTCGAAAGCACTCCAATAGACCTGAACTGATGGAGGAGTTAAATCGGTGAGAAGAATAATATGATCTTGCACAATATTGTTTGCCGCAGTAGGTGAGAGGAAGTTGAGAAAATGGCTTTGTATATACTCTTAGGCACCGACCAATGCTGGGTGAGTGCCTGGCTGCGCTTACCACCTGCTTCCCCGTGGCTTTCCTTGAGCCCGAATTGAGCGCTCACAATCCAAGATCAATTGCCTACAACACAGAAGAGGCCGACTACTCCTTTGAAGCTAGAGGTACATACATTTATGCATGTGAAAGATTTAACATCTGGACGTTGATGGCTGCTGTTCGCTTGATCTCAAATGGGTGTAATCAGTACTAAGGAAATGACGTTTGTAAGAATTGTTTTTGTTTTTTAGACTTGCTTCAAAAGATTAGTAAGACTTTGCCTTCTCTCCACAACATCATTGATGACATCGTCCACCTAGCTGAGGCTGGCTCTAGCGGTACGCAGGAGCCCCATCTCATTGAAGTTACACTTCCCATGCTGTGTTCTTACCTGCCAGTCTGGTGGCGTAAAAACCTCGCTCAGCGACAATATGCGCGCCGTCGACCGGGCTCAAAGGCAGCCTCTTTCTTCCCCGACAATGAGGAGTTTTTGGCTGCTTTGGATGCTGAAGGAGAAGGACTGCTTGAACTTGGAAACACTGGCGGCGGTGGAGGTGACAGTGGCGACGGTGGTGGAGACAACGGTGATGATGACGACGATGAAGAAAAGGGATGGGGTGCTGCCACTGGTCCGATCACCACAGTGACAGCAGATCTGATGAATCGGGTTTTGGGATCGGTGTTACAGCTTATTCAAAATAATATTGACAATAGTAATGCCCCATGGATGACGAGGATCGCAAGTAGGTTCTAATGACAAGACTTCTAAAAATTAGTGTCATCATGATAAACGCTTCCACTCAAATTCCCTTTAACTGATGGTGTCTGCTATCGTCCTCAAACCTGTAGTTGGCGATGATACGCATGGTCATGGAGGTTGAATTGTCTGTACCAACATTCGATTCTGGGCTTCCTCTTAGTACCACTGCAGCGTATTCAAGAGTTTTGGAATCATGCATGTTCTAGGTCAGGAGGACAGTTGATCAAAATATCAGGCTCTCAAAACCAACATTCATAAAATGTTTGGCACTTTTTCAAGCTCGAACACAACCAATTGTTGGCAATGCAACCGTCGACATGCTTGGAAAGTACTTCCTGCCCGTCTCGGAGCGCCTTTTGGACCAAGCTTTTGAGGTACAAAGTTGGGAGAGACGTCTGGGTAAGATCTAGTTCTTTGTATGCGCCAAATTAGAATATAAATTACAGCAACACCACTGCTTTCTCAATCCAGGTAACGAGACTGACAAGGAGGGCGATTTGACAGCTGCCTGCGAGTTGCTGGTGCGCAACATGTTTGCCCTGTATCCCCTCCTCATCACTTTTGTCGATCGATATCGCACCGAGTGGCTCAAACAGCCAACCGTAGAGACGGACAGGCTCTTCAGCGCCGTTGCCAACCTCTTCCTCATTTGGAATGGGTCTCCCGTAAGTAAAAGTCACTATTACCAATGGAATTATTTGAAAGTTTGACAATTAAGCCCTTTCCTTCTCCCTATACTTGTCAGAACTTCAAACGGGAGGAAGAGACATTCGTTGGAATTCATGAACTGGATACTCTGGCACTAATAATGCCGACTGCGGAAAGAGGCACACTTTCTACAGACGTTGCTTCTCGTCCCCTCTCTCATCATCATATTAAGTCTGGTCAGTTGTCACTGGTTGTTCGTGTAATTCTTGCCTGGTAGTTACAGGAAGCATTTGTCCTCAACCCCGATTCTCTTCTCATTCCTAACAGGAAAGGGACCGAAGAAGGGTTTCACGAGTCTAATGGTCGCTTCAATAAAGCGTCTCCTTCCGATTGGTAGGTTAAATCATGTCTTAGAAACGCATTTACGCATCTGCATCCTCCCACTTCTTCACTATCCCATTCAAACTCTTAGGTCTATGCGTTCTCGGTGGCAGGCACCAGGAGCTAGTCCAAAGGGCTAAACGGATGTTCCTCAAGGTTAGCTCACTTTACCTTATTTTACGCAACACTACTACACTACTAAAGTAATAGAGAGGTTCATTATCCAATCGGAGTTTATTCATTTCTCCTTTGCTTGCTCTTGCCTACGCGTAGCGATCAACTACACCGGTAATTTCGCTTCCTTTGTTTGCTACTCGTTTCCATTTTTTTACATGTTCAAGCATTTGCTTTTCCCTCTGTTCAATCAATCTATTTATTCTTGTTGTATATACTACTCATTATTGTTCATTCAGCATACCGACACCAACGGCGAAATGAGCACGTATTTTGCTGATTCTCATCGGCAGGTGATGTAGCGTACTGTAATGATTGGTGCTGACGGTAGCCATATTTGCATGGCCAAGTTAGACTTCTATTTTACAGTTCTCCAATTAGCCACACTGTGTTCTCGTGCCCCTTCTCCTCTTTAACTTCCCTCCGTTCCCCCTTTCCTTCACTGCATTTCAATTGGTTAGAGTCGTTGTCGCTAGATGGCTCCGAAGTTAATTAGCTGAACCGCTCACTGACTTGGTGGTCTTGTCCACTTCTAGCATGAAGTTGAAGTCGACATTATCGAGTACCTTCGATACGCTTTGGACAAAGACGACAATGTAAGTGCTCTTTTTGCATTTTAAAACCAAGCATTTCATATTCCATCCCGTCGATTTCCAAATACTTCCAGTCGGAGACGAAGACATATAGATGGCAGAAGCTCCTCTACCGGAAGATAGATCGAATGATTGCTCTGACCGGATGTCATGACGCCCTGGGTGAATCCACGAAAGAGGAGATTATCAATCGAATCATGACTTTGGCCAAGGTCATGCATGCCCTCTATCTCGTCAGTGTAAGTTGCAAAGGTGATGATAGGGCATCTAAATTGGATACTTCCCATCCCAAAACACCATTATAAACCTCTTGATTTTGGAAAGAAAGTCTAAAAATTGTAATACATTATTTATTGGATCTGTTCCTGTTGACTGAACTCGTTGTGCCCCTTGTTCCCCTTCGACTAACCACCTCGAGTGAGTCCGAAATAGCGCCCAATTATTTCAAACCGATTAGTCATACTTCCACTCATTCATCCACTTGTAGATCATTTTCAGAGTGTGATGCCTTTTTATCTCATTGATATGTTTGCCAACCACGGTAAACCACCTCATCTTCCAACCTCTCCTCCACACTAGCATGTCGTCCCAACCATTCTGAACCGAGGCGCCTGGAAGAAGCTCGTTTCAACGCAACGCAAGCGCGCAGTGATGGCATGTTTTCGAATGCAGCCATTTTACGCACTGCCACGTCATCGTGCTATAAATCACTTCCTTATGGCCTACCATGACGGATGGCTGAGTTACGAACAATCACTAGGAGTTCAGTTGATTGAAGAAATTACAAGAGCCTCACCAGAGGAGAAAACCCTATCTGGTGCTAACGCCCCAGTTCCTACTCCTATCGCTGGAATGGCCCCTTCAGGTCATTCTGGTGATACCGGAAGTGGTTCTACAGATGCTTCGTCGCCGAATTCTGGCACTGGTGGAGGTGGGGGTGGTGATAATGAGGGTATGTCGATTGTCGCAAGGGCTATCATAGAGACTTCAATGTATTCCGACTCCTCCGATGAAGGTAAGTTGACATTTTGTTGAACTTAGAATCGGATTAAATTACTTCAGTGCTCAAAGTAGCAATTCTCTGCCATCACAACAGATAACATCTCCCTCTCGGGAGGAGGTGGAAGTGACGGCAGTGGTGCTGGTGGCGCAAGTGGGAGCGGTGCAATTGTCGCATCCTCCGCTGCCACAAATAACGAACAGGCAGAGGACAGTTCAGCGCCTACAGAAGGGGGTGAGCATTCGGTGTTTGCGACAGACTACTGTGCTACTCCCGATCCTTTGCGTCAACTCCTGACAGCCCTCTGTCGAACTGCTATGGATCAGGCGCCTGACGATCCGCTCTACCTGGCATTCGCTCGCATCATGGCCAAAGTATGTACTTCTTTGGTACTCTTTCCCTCACACAGTCACATGCGTAACAGTAAAACGGACTGACTTGTTTCCTTATCAAATCAATCTGATTGATAAAAAAAATGAACTTTTTTACATTCAGAGCTGTTCAGGTAAGGATGAAGATGACGAAATTGGTGGTGGCAATGGTGGAAGTGGTGGCGACGACAACTCAGCAGAAGAGGAAGAAGAGGAGGGACCCACATCTCAGGAACAAGAGGAGCAGAAGCAGCGTCTTCTCTTCGAACAAAATCGCCTATCTGATCGTGGTGCAGCAGAAATGGTTCTCCTTGAGCTTGCTGCCTCTAAAGGTGATAGAATTTTGCTCAACAGAAAATGTTTTACTGGAATCAGTTAAATTGATAATGAAACGATGATGATTTTAGGTGAAGCTACACCGGTTGCGACAGCCTCTGTGGAGTTGGGTATAGCTATTCTCCTGGAAGGGAACGTTTCAGTGCAGAATCGAATGCTTGCCTATTTGGCGGAAAAGCGTCTCACAGGCTTCTTTACGAGCTTAGCTGGACTCATGCAGAACTGCTCGGTGTTGGATCTTGATACTTTTGAGAGGTCAGTCTTTGCTCACTTTTCGACCGATTGAGGCAATTTGAATATGTAATATCGCCACCTTTTCTACAGATGTCGAAAAGCTGAAGGACTGGCGGTGGGTTTGTCAGACATGGAGGGCATCACGAATCTCTACGATGCGGACTTCACCTGCAAAATATTCCGACTTCTCCAACTCATGTGCGAAGGACATAACTCAGGTAATCATCGCTCAGGGTCGTATGTATGTGAGATGGATGTTGAGAGTAATTCACGTGGATGTTGGTTTCTGTGACATTCTTACCAAATATGCATATAGTAAAAGCGGGGCGAGCTGTAGAGACTCCTGCAAATTATTTGAAGATGGTTCGAAACACACAGCTGGATACCAATCGCCATCACTAGAGATCTTTCACTTTTTTGCTCAACAGCCTTTCAGGACTATCTGCGAACCCAGTCGAGCAACACGACATCAGTGAATCTGATCATTTCTACGGTGGACTACCTGTTGCGCCTACAGGAGTCTATCATGGACTTCTACTGGCACTTCTCCAACAAGCCTGTTATTGACGAATCGGGCCGCACGAACTTCATCAAGGCTATCAAAATCGGCAAGCAACTCTTCCGCACGCTCACTGAATACATTCAAGTAGGTGTCACGGACTATTGGATAGAGTAACTGACTCAAATTTTGAGTTCTGAGGGCTTTTGGAAACCCATTGTCAAACTGGCTCGTTTTAGGGTCCCTGTCAGGGCAATCAGCACGCGTTAGCCAACAGTCGTTTGTGGGATGCGATATCCGGATTCTTCTACCTCTTCGCGCACATGCAGGATAAGTTGAGCAAGGATCCTGAGCAGTTGGATCTTTTGCACGAATTTCTCAATCTCCAGACCGAGATGATGATCATGCTACTGTCCATGTTGGAAGGCAATGTTGTGAACGGATCGATTGGACGACAAATGGTTGATACACTTGCAGAGTCCTCGGCAAATGTTGAAGTGAGTGACGTCTCTCGAAGGAGAGGTGCTCATGTAGTGGATAGAGAGAACTAGGAGGATTTATCAAACAATTAACTCCGAGGACTTCGCAAAGGCACGAGAATGGAAGCGTTCTTTTGAACGTCATTGTCCTTGTCTTCTGATCCTTTCCAGTCCTCAGATCAGATCTTCATTTATTCGGTTTTCCTATGAAAAGATTGAAGAAACACTAGTCTGAGAGGCAGAAGCAATGTCTAATCCCACTTACTGAACGAAATAATGGCCCGTTTAGCCGGGCTTACAAGTCCTTCCACCTTACCATCTTCTGACTACGTTAATTCATTTAGGTAATTTTGATGGAGCCAAGATATGATGTTCTCTTTGTCGCTGTGTGACTCCATCGGCTAATGATGAATATTTGGCAAATGTTTGATCAATTTCTGAACCTCACTTATTTTCTCTTTTCAAGCTGACTTTGACCTTTTTCGACATATTCCTGAGAATGAAGGAAATCACAAATTCCGATGCCTTTTTGGTGAGTTTTGCAAACTACTACCGAATAAAGATAAGCATACTGGTTGCGCCTTAAGTCACTTGTTTTCTTCTCTCTTCCAAAAGGCTTTTGACGTGAATAAAGACGGGTGGATTTCACATCGAGAGTTTCGAACTGCCTTGGAGCAGCAAAAGTCGTTAAATGAGTGAGTTCTACATCCTTGACTACCACTAATAATCTTCTTGCCATATGACACCATTTTTTTCATTAAACTATCTACAGAGAAGAAATAACTTACATAATGGGCTGCGTGGACGCCAATTTGGATGGTAAGATTGACTTTCAGGAGTTCACAGAGCGCTTCTACAATCCGGCACGTGAAATCGGATTTAACGTGGCACTGTTGCTGACAAACCTCTCTGAACATATTCCCGGTGATATACGGTAAATACCACCGTAGGGATGATGTGTAATTTGTGCACTTTAGGACTTTGAGTCTTTTATTCTTCTCTTTATTCTCCTCTAGTCTAGAACGACTTCTACAGAAGGCGAAAGGCATGCTGGAGATGTTTGATCCCCTCTTGGGCCGAATCGAAATCACTAACAAGGAGGGTCGTATTGAACGAGTCTACTTTGAAGTGCGGCAGGAGAACATCGACCAGTGGGAGAAGCCTCAGATCAAGGAGTCCAAGCGCACCTTCCTTCACTCGGTGGTGGGTGAAAGCGGTGACAAGGAGAAACTTGAATGTTTTGTCAATTTTGCCGAGGACACGATCTTCGAGATGCAACATGCTCAGGGCATCAGTGGTGATGACGAAAACTTACAGATCAGTCGGGTAATAAAGCAAAGCCTTTTTAAGTTATCGCCGGTCTCGTCCTCTGCCATTCCTTTAACGACTATGACGAGTGTGACCATCACAATTTTGAGCCCCCTTAAGTGTCTCAAAATAAAATCGAAGAAATCAACTTTTCCCATCAAACCACTCAGCACTTTCTCATGACTCTAGTGGATAATCGATATTTTGGAGCTGTTATTCCCATGACAAGCGATGACTGATGCAAGATCTTTACTTTCTTTGTCACTCGCTTTAGGTTGTAGCTGTTCGCAACCTTCTCGAGGCTACTCGGCTCTCCTCCGTTTTTGCATTCCTTGGCACCCTCATTTCCTTTCTCAGTCCTCACCATTTATGGAAGTGTTGGTGTAGCCTTCGACAAATGTCATTCGTGGACGTCATTACAGATATTCTAGGCCTCATCATCGGTCTTATGATCGGAGCTGTGCGTCTAATTAAAGGAGTTCTTACCATCATGGGTCGTTTTGTGGTTGCAATGACGTCAGATCCAACTGATAAAACCTCAGAAATCCCGGTTTCCCCACCGCTGCCACCAACACAGTCAACGAGTTCGACAATACCACTGAATGTCAAGCGGAACCAAACGGCGATGCTGTTTAACACGATGCGAACAGGTGGAGGCAAACTAGAGGTAACGTTGAATGAAGACGATGCAAAGCCACCTGACCTTGGAACCGCCAATAAAGAGGAGAAGAAACCCACCGATCTTGCTAACATTCTTCAGGTGGGAAATTTTAACAATCATATTTACATAAAACAATCTTCTTTATTTCCTCTTTGTCGAGATTAAAGTGGGTTGATCATTTTCGCCATTGAATGTAAATCGTATGAAAGGTTTTGCGCAGTGATTTTAATGCCTAAAGATAACGTGAAGAAGCATTGGTGTTATAAATTTTTGAAGTTACTGCAAATTTTTCCAGTCTTCTGATAACCTCTAGAGTTCCGTATTCAAGTAGCAATCATTTTTTGAGAAGTCGATCATTCATCTTAGGCTTTTGATAATATTATGGTGGTCAGAATTAGTCAATATTTGGTATTACTATATACATAAATAAATCAATCTTTAATTGGTATGAAAAGACAAATGGCAAAAAGGAGGTGGAGAGCCGATTTTGCATAATTATTTACCTAGTTTATGCTGAATAGCACAACTTATTATATAGTTATTATTTATTCCAAAACCTGGAACACTTGTAAAAAATTTTCTGCTGCTAATTATTTTTTTTAGTTCTTTATGTTCAATGCAAAATTTTTTCCCGATTTTGGGGTGTTGATGTTCCTAAGCCAGCAGCCCCACTTAACAGAGGGGATCAACTAAAAATATAAATGATTAGTAAATTACTTTGCGTCTTTAATTATTATTAGTTTGTATGTTGTTAGACACATTCGACTGCCAATGTATCGTTACTTTTTTAAAACTTCATATTTAGTAGTATGAATCACCAATCAGGAAGTGTACTTCAAGATTTTTTGCAACTCGTTTGGAAAATGATTCTATTATTTTACCTTTTTCTAAGAATTAAGCCCATCAGCTAAAACTTTTTATTTTCCAGGGCTTTTATTTCTCTTATACAAATATTCAATATAAATATGGGAAAAAAATGCGTTTTTAAGATCCCAGCAACAGTAAAATAATTTAAAATTTGTGGATATTAATGGCTTTCTCTCACTTTCTTCTTTACCTTCTGAACATCAGGTCAATCGGCTTCAGCCTAGTCGACTTAACCAAGCTTACTCCAATCCTTGGTTCTACTATTTTTCAGATCCAGTTCTTATGAAAGATGTCGCATTTTGAGGATTTAGTTAATTTCTGTTTTCCACTTCATCCGTTTTAGCATTTATCAAATATCTCCTTGTTGTTTTAACATCCACTATTTTATCCACATTTTACCCTTAGTTGCTGCCTGTTGTGGAGATGTGAGTGCATAACTTTAACCGGACAGCGCTCCTTCCATTCCAGCTCCTTATCAGGCGACAACTTCCAAAAAAAATCCCACAACCTTTTATGTCTGAACTTATCTTTGATTCAGGATTCCTGAGTTTTGTGCATCGCTCTGCTTGGAATTCCTGAATTTCCCAATCTCCTCTTATTATTTTGCTACTTTTTTCTACCTATCCGTTTGCTTTGTAACTCTTCCATAATCGCCATCCATGACATTCCTTCTGTCTGAATCCGTTTATATGTTTTCTGAGTTTCAAAATAGTCGTACTCTGCAAATCTTAATCATAAATGGAAGCTCTTGATCTTCTGACCTAATAATTTGCAAATGTTCTTGTAACTCCTTAAAGGAAAAGGAATGCTGGCTTTTGTCAGAGGAGGAACAGCTGTTACTGGAACGAGTGGACTCCTCAAAAGTAGAGGCCTTTACAGGAACCACAGTACAGAAACCACCTCCGCCTACCAACACTCGCCCGGAACCAACTCCACCCAATAAGAAGGCGCAGAACATCAGTACGTCCATTCACTTTCCCTATGTGCTTTTCGTTATTGTAAAGGAGAGCTAATCTTCTTGGAGGGTCCTAAACATTGTCTTCATTTTGGGATTTCCATGTGTGTGTCACGATCGAGGACTCCTTCAATTTCTTCACAATCAAATTTATCAATGTACTTATTAGCAATTTCAGTAGTGGGTTGCCAATCGGTATGTCTGCGCTATCCTTTTTGTAAACTCATTGCCTTCCAATATATAAGGTAACTTAGATGCATTTGTAATTTTAGGTACTAGACGGCCTTAGACACGTATTTAATAACCTTACCACTTGTCTTTGCTGCAGGACCAAGTCCCCAAACACTGGATCGGGAAACCCCGGAGGAGCCTACGGTCGTGGAACAGAAGCCCATACCAACCTCTACCTTCCTAATCTCGATTTTTGCGCGCAACTTTTATCGGTTCAAATTGGGTGCTCTAATTCTCGCCTTCATGATCAACTTCCTTCTCCTCTTCTACAGGGTGAATGCCGTTTCCCTCTTTCACATAGAATGACATTCTTGTTCAAAGTCACATTAAAGGCTTTTTGCCTCTAGATTGAAAGGCGAGGCGTTGGTGGGGAAGGAGGGGGTGAAGAGGAAACATTTGGTGCCTCGTTTGTCACAACAATCACTGACACCGTCTCCAATATAGCGGACTCTCTCCAGGACACAGAAGTCGATGTAGGGATGGAGGGAGAAGAGGAGTGGATTACGTTAGCTGAATCGGCCTCGTATTTAGGTCCATTGCTCAAGATACTCGCTATTGCCCACTCGATCCTCTCTATGAGCATGCTTGTCGCTTACTATTTTTTGAAGGTGAGTGATCCAATAGTGAAGTTTGTTGGTGAATCTCTGGCTGCTTTCACATGCCTTGATGGATCTCTCTACTAGGTTCCCCTCGTTATATTCAAACGGGAGAAGGAAATATCTCGAATGCTTGAATTCGAGGGCATTTGGATAGCCGAACAACCCTCTGATGAGCGGCTAAGAGCTCAATGGGATAAATTGGTTCTTTCCACTCCCAGCTTTCCCCATATGTACTGGGATAAGTTCGTCAAGAAGAAAGTCCTGAAAAAGTATAGGGAACAGTACGACCAGCAGCAAATAAAACGGCTTCTTGGAATGAAGGATGGTGGTACCAACGGGGGCAGCAGTGGCATTACTGCAGGGGGACGTCCTGAGGAGGTCTCAACCACTTGGTTCTATCCAACATGGCTTCAGGAGATGGATCTGCAATACTTGCTTTGGAAGTGGGGAGTCATCTTCACAGATAATGTGGGCCTCTCATGATTATGAAAGCATTTTCCGCTGAGGATGCTATCCTCTCACTTTTTTTTCGATTTAGTCGTTCCTTTACCTTGTGGTCTACTTCATTGTTTCTCTGCTGGGAAATGCAAATTACTTCTTCTTCTCATGCCACCTGCTAGACGTTGCCATCTCCTTCAAAACACTGGCTACCATTGTACAATCAGTTACACACAATGGAAAACAGGTGGGTCATTCTTTGCGGTGTTTTGTCAACTACAAATCACGTAGATGTCTTATGTAAGTCGTGCTTTCGCACCTACTCGTAACGTTATTAATGATTAATCTGCGAGATTCCAGCTGTTTTAGATTTTTTACCCACCTATTAAGTCTGCTTTTCACACCTCATGAACAGTGACGCAACTCAACTATTTTCATGCAATTGGAGTGAGCTCCTTCTCTCCACACCCTTCCCCACCATTACCGGGTAGCCTTATTTCATTTAAGTAGCAATTAGCACTGGAAAATGCATTTAAGGAGTTATTTTTTTCATCATTTATATCACTGCCTCTAAAAATTGTGAGTTGGTGCAGATAGTAAATGCTTAAATTGGTGTGTGGAACGGTTTTCAAAAACCTTCCAGTGCACTGGTCACGCGATTCAATCTAGTTGTTGCTTTGCGCGTACCTGAAGCCCCGAGCTCTTGGCCCTCGGTCATTTGAGAATGGCGGTCGCGAACCCAAATTCATTTTTAATCTGTCACCTCAGGTGAAATGACCACGTGCCATCCTGTCCGAGGGTGTTGCGCTTTCACAGGTGGGGGCTGTAGAATATGATGACCCAGTGTTAACGCGAGTTTTGTGCTCAAAACTCGCTTATCGGTTCAGCTTGATAAGGTCATCGCTTGATAATACAAATGTGATTTCGACTGATGAGTTTGGCCTTTCTCTAGGCATAAAGTTTGTTTAATTTTAGATCAGATGGTTAGGACGCTAATTCTTTTTGAGTTTTGAAGCATCATATCACCACCCACAGACTGAGCTTGATGCTGATATTAGCCCAACAAAACAAAGCCCGGTCCACAGGCCTTAAGGTCCTGTGTTTAGATGCAAAATGCTCTCTTAGTGCCACACAACAATTGAAGTTGAGTAGCTGACGACAATGTCTATGTTAAAGCGACTCTACTTGGAGGCTATTGAGGACTTTCTTTTGTACGCGCCTGTCCTTTCTCCTCTTCCCTCCTCATCATCTGATTCCTGGTGGAAACCGTGATCGAATGTCTCCTCTGCCCATTTTAGCTTGTGTTGACGGTCATGTTGACTTCAATTGTGATCTACCTTTACACTGTTATCGCTTTCAACTTCTTCCGCAAATTCTACACAAAAGAAGAAGATGGGGAGAAGGAATACAAGTGCAATGACATGTTGACTGTGAGTGATTTCACTATCATCTCCCTCCACGAAACAAATGATATTGACGCCTTCTCTCCTCTTGCTCTCCAGTGCTTTGTCTTTCATCTCCACACGGGTCTACGAGCAGGTGGTGGAATTGGAGATGAAATTGAACCACCGGATGGAGATGCACACGAAGCACTGCGGATCCTCTTTGACATGTCGTTCTTCTTCGTTGTCATCATCATCCTCCTTGCCATTATTCAAGGTTCGTGCCTTTGTTCGCTTCAGTTGTCAGTAGGCCTTGAGTGGAATCGATCATTTGGATTACACGAACTGAATGCCAACTCGTTGAGGTGTCAACAATTTTTACTTATCAGTAGATTTTGCGCATTCAGCCCTGGTGTGATGCTTTTGTTGAATTTTTACAACAGATTCAAACATATGGCAGATGCAATCTTTTTCTTCCGTCTAATCCGCTTTGATGATTGTGGTTGAACCTGTTGGATGTCTTGTTTTCGTTCTTGTTCCTAAAATAATTGCCCATCTTATGTGGAGGCAGAGGTTCGCTTTCAATCACACCGTTTAATTGAGTGGAAAATTGTCCATTGAATTTCATTTTCACGAGGCAATTATGTCCATGCCATTTGGAAATTATGCCAGAAGGTGTGTTGTCCGCTACAAGGACGATGAAGAGTGTATACAACTCAAGCGAGAAGTGTTCAGGGTTTTTTTTTTGCCAATTTCATTGCCTCCTTTCAGATTAGACCGGTGGTCTGTCACAATGGTGTGGCCTGTAGCGACTCTGACAGTGACTATCATCTGAAGGGTTACCAATTGTCGGCACTTCTTTAATGCCTCAATTTTGCTCGCTGCTTTTGTGTGTTTTTTTGTATCTATTTGAAGGGCTTTGGCAAATGATTTTGCAATGCGTTTGCTCGTTATCACCCGTCGCCATCCAACTTCTAGCGGATGAAATCAGGACTTGTGTTTCACTAATGCAATAAATTGTAAATGTATTTCAATAGATTCTCTGTGCATGTACGAGAGGACCGACGGTCCGTTAACATGGAAATGATGTTGCTGTAAATCGCAGAGGTCGATGATTGAACTCGGATGCGTTGTGAAGAGTTGTACAGAAAGGACAATTAAAGTTAAACAACAACCAGTTCTAAGTCCTTATAGGTGATGTCAGTGAAGTTGGATGCATACATTTACCCTCAATTTTTTTCAGGTCTGATCATCGACGCTTTTGGTGACCTGAGGGATCAATTAGAGCAGGTGCGAGAGGATTTGGAATCCAAGTGCTTTATCTGTGGCATTGGAAAGGAGTACTTCGATGCCACCCCACATGGGTTTGATCGGCACGTGGAACGAGAACACAACTTCGCCAACTACATGTAGGTTCAAAGACCAACAAATTAAAGGGGTCTAGTCGATTCCGAAGTTAAAGCTGGTGATAAATTCTTGAAGTGAGTTGTCTCTAACACACAAGGATTGAAACATCTTATCAGCCCAATCCGTCCAAGCGCTGCGTCCTCACACGCCCATCAGCATGCTCACTTAAAATGAAGGACTTTAAATTCATTCAGTCTGTGGTATTCAAATTTTGAAGAGACGGAGGGTGAAGGTTGTCATCCTGCAATCTGGGATGCTGTCAGTTTCTATCATTGTTGATATTCAAGTGGTTCATGTCATGACAATTCAGTGAAGTTTCAATTAATATGCCTTTGGTAACGTAGTCAGGTTCTCCCTCCTCCCTCTCCGAAGTCATGAAGGCCATGGAGGAGTGTAAGCCGGCCTCTGTCTGCCGATCTAGTCATACACATCTGCCTTTTGTAGGTACTTCCTCATGCACATCATCAACAAACCCGACACCGAATTCACCGGTCAGGTAGGTTTACGCACGCAGATTAGTGATTTCATGTGTGCATTTTTGCTCACTACTCACACCAGATACGTTAGCGTTTGTTTCTGTGATTTTAATGTCTAATCTCTGCCATGAACTCGAGGACGCCTTACTCTTTGTCAAAGGCTAGCTAGACCATGGACGAAATTCTAGCTCTATGTCCAACCTCTGAGTGCGTAGAGCTTGGGGATGACTGGTTTTACAAATCACCAGGACCCGACTCAAAGTGCTGTAACAGATGAGCCCTCAAATTTGAGGCATCGATGTCACTGTTGTAATACGAATTCACGACGTTGGACAATTAGCTCCCACCCCTCAAACGTGGCTCTAGTCTGCCAACTAATGATGGCATGTCATCGTCGACATGACATGACGATAGGTTCGACGCGAGGATTAGTCTTTGTGGTTTTTGGCGTTTAATAGGAGACTTACGTGTGGGAGCTCTATCAACAGCGTTGTCTGGACTTCTTCCCTATTGGCAACTGTTTCCGCAAGCAGTATGAAGAAGAGTTGCAAGCGAAGTAACAGCAGATCCCTCCATATCCAGATATTCAGATGCCGCCTTTCGAAACTATGGTCTCTTTTCGCCTTTCAATGACGTTTGCCTTTCTACGCAGAAATATGATGCATTAGAAAACAATTCTTTCGACTCAATCACTCGCCTTTCTCTTTTCCTCTACCTAATTTTCATCGCCTGTCTATTACGCCTCCTCTAAGAAAATAAAGTCATTATTTGATGTTAACGTGATGTCTTCCTTTTTCCCGTAATCAAGTTAAGGTTCGGGTTACGTCCTAGCACCTGGTAGGGTCTCGCGAAGATAGTCTCCACCTTCCTAAAAAAACTACAGAAGTGTCTAATTTGCATTTGGGACAGAGCTACTCGACGATTTGATCGCGGAGCAGGAGTTCATCCTTTCTTTGAGAGCAACTTTCACAACCAAAATGGGGAGGTTGTAATGCGATCTCATGACGCGTTCAGGGGAGAGGTGCCGAGGTTTGAGGAGGAAATAACCACTAAACACCGCAGATGCAACATGTATCTGAAATGGATTTCTTGAGACAAAAATAAGGCAATTCAGCTGGAGCAAAGCGGTATAACCTACGAATTGGAAGTGGCAGAGATAGTGAAACTGTAAAGTAGCATAACTAAGTTGAGAAAGGAATCCTATTAGAGAGTAGAAAGGAAAGAATTGTTATACCAAGATCTACAAAGCACAAATAATGACTACGAAATGTATTTAATAGAGATTGGTTGGACCTAATCACCAGAAATAAAACCCACTTTAACCTGTGCTGCAAAATGCCGTTAAAACTCCAGTGGTAAAGGAATCGCCTTCAAGGATCTTCTGAGAATACCGGTTTCGTTCAATTCTGAGGTGGACAAGTGAAAACCAAGCTACCCGATGGAACAATGCGAGTTCTCCCACATCATACGCCTAAGAAGAACCACCGACATGGCCTTGAGTTCGATGTGGGATCCTCCTCCCCATTGATCCCCTGGCATATTTAAACCCATCCTAAGTTGAATTCCGAAATCATTAACAAACAAGGTACTCATGCTTTCACAATTGCCTCTGTCCACGTTGAGATGATTGTGCATAGCTTGTCTATGAGTCCATACACAATTTAACAGGTTTCCAATCACTTCCACATCATCTCATTTTGGCCCTTTTGCGAATATCACTACAATCGCATGTTTTTCTTCTCTATCTAAACGCATAAAGTTCAAAATAGTTAAAAGTGGAGATTGACGATCTCGTTTCCATTGCCTTTACTTTCTATTTTGTCAAATACGGTCGCTAAAAGTGGTGGAAACATTAAAGTCATAGCTAGAAAGTACAGCAACGGAAAAGAATTCGGGGTTAATTTGATTGACAGACCTTAACTGTAAGTTGACTGATTGAGTCTTCAACAGCTTTTTCACCAGGTATGCTGTTGGTTCAGGCTAGCTTACTACAAATTGGATGACTTGTCATCAGAAATATTTTATATTTTTTCTACATTTTACACAATATATTTTATGTTAATTTTGAGCAATCTATTTTTCATAAGGATCGGATTGTAAAAAGTGAGATATCAATGTTACCTGTCAGGAGAATGAACGTCCCTGATTTATCGAATCTGCCTCATAAAGGTGTAGATATCAGAAAAGCATATTATTTTGGAATTCGATCTATCTCACTTTACAACTTGAAAGAAGGCCAAAACTTTAGTAGTGCGCAGTCTATAAAAAAATCTCAAGGACTGGTACCGATAGATGGAGATTTTAGTAAGAATTTGTATGTTTTAAGCAAAATACTTAGCTCGTGTAAACGACAACTGAATTAAATGACAAGATTACGGCATATTTAGTAATCGTCCCTCTTTCTCATAATCCGCCCATCAACTTTCGCTTCTCTCGTCTACGGCCGAATTTATCATGATGACGAGGGATAAATGAACCTTCAAATCAACCCAAGAGACAAAAGTATGGGGTACAGAGGTCAGATTTTACAGTACCCCGGCATGATTCCTCAAAAAATCGCACGTCCAACTCCCCCAATATCATTGAGATGGTCAAGGAAGGCTCAAATCTAATTGGTCCACCCATACGCAGTAGATTTTATTGGCTCAACAAATTTATAAATACCCCAAAACAAGAAGATTGAGAGCATGGCTCAAGGTATTTTTGTTACACTTCAACGATGTCCAATTTTACAGTGAAGAATCTATTGAATCTTTCTGATGGCGACCAACCGGACCAGAACAGGGAACAACCTCAAAATGGTAATGTTGATAAAATAATTTTATCGCTGTTTCTATACCTCTTTTGTAGTCTTCTTTCTGTTTCGAAAAATCCACCGATAGTCGTCTTTAGGGTGGTTCAGGCGTCCTTTGGATTTAGCATTTCATGTCGTCTCAGTAGTATAACTGACATGCCCACTGTTCGAGTTCCACATCAATTCCACTCCATGTCGCCCTTTTATTTACAATTGTTTAAGAACGCGTTTTAGGCTCACTTGTTCACAGTTTCCTACCAGTGATGCTGCTATGCAACCGTCATGGATCCCCACCAGTCATCACTGACTCCCAATCAAGATCAAATGACTACTCAAAGTAGTCCACTAGACATGGGCATATTCTTGACAAAGCACGTAAACACATGCATTCACATTGCAATCGCTTTGTTTTTATAGGAGCACAAAACATGGAAAGTCAGCTTATGCCCAATGGTGAGGGAAGCTCGGAGCCTCAGCAGTATGGCATGGTGCCTTGGCTCGCACTCATGCAGAAACACATGGATAGCTTTGCAAGGCCGTCGAATGATAATACGGAAGAGAAAATCCTACAGTGGTTACGGAGTCTAAATGATTTGGGACTGATGCAAGCAAATTTTCTTCCACAAGAAGAGCAGAGGGAAGAAGAACCTTCGTCTACTGAACCGACTGCCATAAGAGCATTAGCTACATTTCTACCACTCCTTCCCCAATCGACCAGCTCCCCAAGGCCTGACTTACAGGAGAACATCGGCGAAGGTCTGTCATCAGCAGCACCGAGTCAAGGTGAAAGTCCACTTGAGACTCAAGTTAAAAACTCATCCCCATTTTTTCAACCATTGACCCTCGATTCCATCTCAAAGTTAAGCCAGCAAATTGTACAGCCACTAATGCAGCAACAAATGCCTTTACAGAGTACGCCTTCCCACCTTCAAATGCAGCCTACTGTACTTACGGACAACATTCTCCGAAAATGTCTTAGAGCCAATGGAAGTGTTTTAAATTCAGCAACTATTTTCATACCGGTAGGAAAGCAACAACCTCAGAAAAGCGTGGTGGAGTCTGAAGCACAACGACAAGGCAGACGCAGGGTTCTTTTTACAGCTCACCAAATTAATGAGATGCTTACAAGATTTAAAAAGCAACGTTACATCAGTGCAGAGGAACGCGAAGAATTGGCGTATCAAATTGGTTTAACCCCAACTCAGGTGTGTCCAGCATTTGATGTCACGTGAATTAACCTAATGATTGAAGGCCTATAGTAAAGCCATCAAAACTATCCATTCTTTTGAATTTTATGTTAGGTTAAGATCTGGTTCCAGAACCATCGCTATAAGACGAAGAGGTCCGGAGAATACGTTCCTAGCAATGAGGATCCTGCTACACAGGCAAAGATTCGAGCTGTTGGGGAAGATGTCCCATCAACTAGCGCATCGGAAACCTCTCACAACGAGAGTCTGAGCAATTCAGAGACCTCTCACCTACAACAGCAGTCTGCACAAGCATCGGTAACTTCGACATCGCTGACATTGGAAGTTTCTGCAGATCAGATGCAAGATACTTCAGGGCAGAGGGTTATATTTCAAGCTCTGGCCGACTTTCTTCAAAATCAATTCGACCATACAGCAGCACAAAAGCAGTCAGATGAGGAGGACTCGGGGGAGAGCAAAAGGGTGGCGCAGACAAAAGAAATAGTTCGTCTCCTCCGCGAAGCCTCCTC